TTTTTTTATTTATGTATTACATTTATTAAGCAAACAAAAATAAACTAAAAAAAACCTATTCTGTCTGAAGAGAAAAAAAATGAGAAAGAAAAAAATGTTATTTTAGTCTTTATTTTGTTAAATTAATCATCATTATTGTCGGATTTTTCATTTGGATGTGTACGATATAATTGAAAACTTGTCATACCACGCATAGCTCTTGTATCATGTTCTATATTTGGTGCCCAAACTTTACATGTTACACTAATAAGACGATCGATTGGTAAATTTTTAAATTGAACCAGAACAAATGGTTGAACATGATCTCGTGCATTTCTAGGTAATAAAATTTTTAAAAGAATTATTTTATTTCGAAAAATATTTTACCGATATGGAAAGTAATAATTAGGTATAGCACCATATTTTGTCGAACCAGATGGTTTATCCAATGAATAATACACAATATCATTTAAAACATCTCTATCAGCAGGATTCTATTTAAGAACAAAACTAATGAAATCGAATACATTTTCTCAACATACCGTTCCATCACATGTTATATAAACATCTGAGACCGGTCCAGTTTTTTTAGTACGACTACCACGAGATTCTTGAGTACGAATACCACGAAGTTCTTGTATATTCTCTGGTAAATGACCTGCCAATGGTGTCCATCCATAAACCTACGGTGTATTTCATTATTTTTGTTGTATATAAAATCGATAATTACTTTATTTAATTTAACCAAAACACATGGTTGTTCTTTTTTAAAACCATACATATTATTATCCGAACATGGATGATTATCTGTATTAACAATATGAAACCAATTAAATAAACAAGCTGTACTTTCCGGTAATTCTGATGCTGGCTCTTCTGCTGTGCAATTTTCTGTTTTTGCATCATTACCTTGAACAAGATAAACTACAAATAAAATATTCGTCTTTAAAAAAAAAAAGAAAAATATAATTAAATAACCATCGCGATATAATCGAAGTGACGAAGCAATACGTGCTTGTTGATCTGGATCATTTGATACTACAATAAGATTATCGTCAACACGCGGTTGAGGTCGAAAACCCATTCCAACTATAACATAAAAAAAAAACAAATTAAAAGATTTATTTAATTTTTAAACATACCAACAGTAGCTGTTGTTCGTATAGCCATTGTACTTTCTTCATTATAATATCTTGGTTCATGTTCATTAAGTGAAAAGGCAAATATATAAAGTAAACCAACAAAAAAACATCCCAAACAAAAATAAAAAACTGTATAAAATGCTGCTAATTTTGCTAAAAACAATATTTATATTTAATATCATGAATTTTATTTTAATTTATATTTACCCCAATTGAGAGAACTACGACCAAAGACAGTTTTCATACGTGGATTATAAAAAAAATTAGTAAATCCTTGTACCAAATTTTTCTTTGGTTTGTCTGATGAAACTTTTGCTTTCTTTGCATCTTTTAATTTTTTACTTGCAGCTTCGCTTTCTACTTCTCCTACAGTCGGATTTTCTGGGATAGTGCTAATAGCGACGGGCGCATGTGGTTTTTGTTCAATTTCGGTGTCGGCCATTCTATCGATATATGAAATAATTTCCCTCGAAAAGAAAAAAGCAAAAAAGAAAATTTACCTATACTTATTTTTTTATATGTATGTATAAATGAAAAGATGACAGCGTTAAGACGAATGCAAACGTTTTCAAGCGTAACCAAAAATGATGTATATGTTTACACTTTGTACCATTTTTTTCCTCTTGCGGCTTCACCAGTTGCACATTGAAGTATGATAAAAAAAAAAGAAAGCGAGAAATAATTATTTAGTGTACAGGTATAGAAAAAAAGAAGAAGGAGATACACGTGGGGTAAAAATAAATGATTATATCATAAAAACTTGAAATATGTTTTCACATTGAATAATAAAATCATTGTGATGGGTATTTATAAAATGTTTTAGAATCATAAGTCTGGAAAATAAAGACGAATAATCTAATTAAGTAATTTAAGATATTTGAATTGATTAAAAAATCGTACCGAAATATGGAATTCTTTTTTTTTCATCGACGTATTCTACTCGAATATTTTTATGATTAATTAATGAACTATAAAAATATTATTATCATTTAAGCATAATTAGAATGGAAAAACAGTTATAGAGAATATTATCTTTTGTTTCGTGAGTGAGAAATTCGGTCGTTTTTCTTTCATCTCTATAAAATGATATATTATAATTTTCTTGATATAAAATCCAAGAGCATAATAATCATTCAGGTGTGACTTCAATGAGTATAGGCTGTTGATCTATGATCAAAATTATGAGTTTTCGATTGGTAGCTTTTACAAGTAAGTTTAAAAAGAATGGATAGTAATTATGTTTACTTATTTATTTCTAAAACATAAGTATGAGCGATGTAAGATTAATTTTTTAAAAGAAGAAGTTGTTATATCTTCTAGTATTTATACCATACACTAATTAATCACTAGAATTATGTCTATATCACATAAAACTCAATTTCATCGGTATCAACAAGTGTTACAATCATCAAGGAAAGAGTCAGTTTTATGAAAAAAAATATCGAAAGCAATATGATTATTACATTATAAAAAAATAAAAATAAGATAAGCAACAAAGTGATGATTCGTAAAGCTATGCTTGCTTTTCAAGGACAATTATTTTTTTAAGTATGAATGAATATTCAATTTGAATTGATTAGAAAATTAATTTACTTTAAATACAAATATATACTAGTTGATTCCAATACACATGTTTATTAGAAATGTAATTCAAAATCATCATCGGATAAAATGATCAAGTAAACGTTTAATATTTGAAATAAACAACAGAAAAGATAAAATAACGATAATAATGACCGATGAATGATTAACAAAAATTATTAAATCTACTTGTATATGAATTATTTGTTTATAGTCATTCGATATATAGATATCATGTATTGTGGAAATTAGTCATTAATATAACATTTTGTTATAACAGACTTATCAGAATACAATATAGGTCACCACTGGAGGTGTGAATAGATGTATAGGTAAAGAATGATTTTATTTGAATTTTTTTACTGCGAGAACTCTATACTTATTAAGAAATATCACATATAACGATCAATATCTATGGCAGAACAAACCAATCAAGTTACTATAAATAATTTAGAATGATTGATAAGTTTCGAATTATGAACGTAGAAAACAAGTAAGTTCATTGCAGCCTTTGAGATTTGAATACGTCGTTTCTCTTTCAAAAGATATCACTGTATTAAGTTCTGTTTCGTTATTTTGTTGTTCATTCTACCGGTATATACAAAATTTCAGAAGTAAACCTGATTTTTTACGAATTATGATATTTTATAACAGAAAATAGATTTTATTTATTTTTCATTTACTGTTAGTTAATAAAAAGATATACATATGCACGAGAATTATGTGCAACTAGCATATCGAAATTGTAAATCATAACAGATTTTTACTTCTTTCAATTTACTGCCTGACATATCAATTTGAACAGCTGATGCAAATAGTGCCGGTGAATTAAGAGTGAGAAAAGCATCTTTAATCACTACTGCAGATGAACTTGTCATAACATTATTTGTTGGAATACGAAGAGCTTGATAAATTTTTTCTGTAATCACATAATAATCCATTGGTTGGTTATAATAACAAGTGCCTAAAAATAAAGAATTGAAATGATGTTCTGATTCATATATAGCAAAGAAATATATGTTTCTATACCGTGTTTTTCCCATTCGCCTTGCATAAGATCTTCTGAAGGCATGATACAAAAAAATCGTTTCACAAATGTTGCATTCAGTTGTGCTTCATCACGACAATTACGTGGATGGGCACGAACATTAGGAGCTTTAGCTGCTTGAGGCCACAATCCATGAACAATCAAACCAAATCCATTGCTGGGCATACATTGAAATTCTTTGTCACGATTTGCTTGTGATAGCGTAGCACAGTAAGTTGGACTCCTAGAAAAATTATTTCATACAATAAAGTGTATTAGAATTATTTAAATGTATATAGCATGCTTTAAAAATTACGTACCAGGAAAGTGCAAGCATCATATAGGCTGTTGTAGCAGTTAAATTTTGCCATTCGCCACTTTTTGATTTCCAACTGAAATCATATTTGGGTTTGAGCTGCGAAGGAAATGGACATGAATCATCATCCGTCTTAATACTCATTGCCATCGCACCAGCAATAATAGTGATCGCAATTAAGATCAAGCTCTTCATCATTTCCAACAACAATAATTTTACACAGTATTGATGCAAAAATAATAGACACTGAATAATAGCATAAGAATAATAGGAGTATTTATAGTAGATATTAATACTTTATTATCTAGAGATAAAATAGTTTTAAAAAAGTTTTATTGATTTAAAAAAAATGTAAGTATAATATTTTTTATGATCCTTATCATTTAGTATACGATTTATGATAGAAAAAATAGTCTAATACAAAAATATAATGACGATATTTTTAGAAACTATTTGCATATGAATCAATCCAAGATAAGTTAAAGTACATTTCAAGTCCTATAATAATTTATCCCGTTAAATACATTTTATTTCTCGTTAGACTGATTATTGAGATTTTCTAACTATAAGATTCGATCCGTAATTATCAGAGATTGCAAAGTACAATATAATCATGTTAATGTTGAAAATCGTTCACTGATTAACTTATATGAGATTTATAATGCATGTGAAAATATTATTTGTTATAAATTAAATGTCTTTCAATTCAAACTGTTGATTATAACATTCATAAATGAGTCAATTATATTCTTATACATTCCGTAAATAGATCTATTTGACAAAGATAACAGTATAAGCATAGATTTGAATGAAATAATCTGATTCATCCTTTATTTATGTCCTCATCGTCACGATGATATTTTATGTTTCGATATATAGGTCATAAATTTTCTTTTTTCATCGAAGTTTTACTTAAAAAAGAGATTGGCTTTTTTTGGTTTGTAGTAATTAATATTTTCAGAATAATTTATACTATTTTTGCATTGATGTGAACTGTGATTTCTCTATTTGTTTTTGCTGTTAATAATATATGTCGAACAGCACACGTGATACTTGTTGTTAACTTATATTTATCTGATTTTTTATTAGAATGCAATATACTTAGTCTGACTGTATTTACACTTGAAAATGTTATAAAACACAATCGAACTTACACTTCATTTTATATATGTCGAAGATTCTTAGATTTTATGACATATTCGATGTAAAATCATTCTTTATTATTACTGTGATTTATCTAACAGGTTTAACATAATAATCATTTATTCTGAATTTTTGCTTCTATATAAACTTTACCAACAATATTTAATAATAAACTAATTTATGATGTTAATAGTGTATATTAATTCCACATATAAAAGAAATGATTACATATTTATTTATACTCGTTTTACTATACACAATCTTTATTTTCTTGTCATCTTCTAATAATGTAACACTGACATGAGTAAATGTATAAAATTAAATTTGAATTTGAAGTATATTTTTTGTAAATAATGGCCATGATAAAAATTATTTGTAGCATTACTATATGGAATAAGGTAAACTTTACTATTTTCTAATAATAAGGTTTTAGAAAAAAAAATTTTTCTAATGTAAATTAACAGGGTATATTATTGAAGATTTAAGATATTGTTAAAAACAGTAAATTATTGTCATCCATTTATGAACTATTTTCTTGATATAAATAAGAAAAACGGAATAATATTACTTAACCAATGTTATCGGAAGTAGTCGATTAAAAACATCATGCTATTTTAAACTGTTGAAAAGGTAGACACGTAAGAAATAACAAGTCTGTATTGATCTTCAGTTTTCATTCATCGAAATTTACGACCATTGTCGTCATCGCAATCTTTTACGAATAGAATATTCTGTCGACAATAAACATATTCTTGACTTAACTTAAAAACTTCATAAAAGAGAGTGTAAATGAGTGAGAATTGGTACGGATGAATGACAAACAACTATAATATTCATTATTAGTAAACAAACTAAAACAAGAGGCATTTCTGAACATTTATTTTTATGATATAAGGAAAGTAATTAACAATGTGAAACATAAAATTCGATTGCCTTTTGAATAGGGCTACTATATTACTTTAGTAATAACTCATTAAACAAATCAAAACGTTCTTAGTCAACGATTGCGTTTCGTCATGCCTAACTTTCTGTTGAGAAAAAAGTACATGAAAAAACTATGAGTAAATAGAATTTAATATAATCCTCTTATACGGTACCTTCTCTATTCATTGAACATATCTAAGGAGTTCTCAAATATAACAATTGGCACGTAAACAACATTCATGATTTAATATTATATCTGTTGTCTTGTTATTACTTAATATCAGTAATAAAGTAGTCATTTAAAAAAGTAATAAGTTAATAGAGAACTCATAAAATTACTAGTGACAAATAATAATAATAATTATCAAGTAAAAGTAATATAAAACTCCTACTGTTAAGAAATAGTTTTTCTAGAACTTTTTGTTATTACCCAAAAAACCTATATTGAAAGAATAGATTCATACTTGTTATGTTTTATATTAGATACTAATATTGACTGACGGAATTACAGGAGAAATATAATCAAAAATTTCTTATTTAAAATTTATCAGTAAAAATCATTATCGTCAACCTGAAAATATGCATTGTATATTTCATGAATTATTATGAGAGAAAAACTGTAAGAACTTATTGAACATATTTTCGTGTAAGTTCATATTTATTGTTAGATAATGATGAAAAACAAAATCTTTTTTACAAATGATATTTTGATGTTAAACATTACATTCAACTGTCGATCACTTTTCACTCCTATCAATGAATGCATAGGCTTTTAATTTCGCTTTATCGAACGGAGGCGTTACTCAAAGCCGGATTTATGCATTGTCAAAAGAAAGTGCTCACTATATGGTTTTCTTTCTAACATTGATTGATGCTGAAAATCCAAAGTATAGAACAGGCAATCGATTTTAGATAGTCGCCTGAGGTGACAAGATCATTAGTTATAAGACTGAAACGAGTATCAACAGAAGAAAAAGGAGCAGAGAAAAGAACAAGAACCGAAATATAAAAATCTTCTTACTTTCTCTTTTCTATTCTCATTTTTACAAACGAACACACACATATATATATATAGACACAATACATCTACTCTTCATATTCTTCTTTAAATATAATCAATAATTATGTCTCATATTTGCTTCTTCTTATCCATATTAATAACAATTTTCTTATTACAAATATCAAATCTTCATTCTACTGCAATACATTCTGGCACTAACAATCATATATTACAAGATAATGATGATAATCAACATATACAAAACAATCTTTTCTATTTAATTAAAAATATTCTTGAAGAAACAAATGCTGACGAACAATTAATCTTACTTAATCAATTACGTGAATATCTCAATTTTATGTGTACTACAGGTTATTTGGGTTCATCACATACTTATGCATGTCAACGTATAAATGATATTATTCATCAACATCATGATAATTCCAATATTGAACAACGTAGTTTACAAAAACGTTTTTTTTGTAATGGTTTTATTGGATGTAAAAGTACTAGTGGATGACTATCAACTGAAGACAAACAGGATGAACATGTAATCAATCGTCAACGAATACGAAATTATAATATAATTCATTGAATTCGAAAATAAAAAATAAATTGAAGTGTTTTGTTTTCTTTTTATTTATTTTATTCATTAAGACACATTTTTTCCGTCAATAAGAAACCCTGTCTGATTATAAATATGAATTAGACGAAAGAATGAGAGTTTAAGTTAGACTTTTTATCAATCAAGACAAATCTTATTGATGGTAACAAATAATGCCTGCTTTTAATATACTAGATATAAGTACATCTTATATTACTCTAATAATCTATTCACTATTATAGTTAATTCTAACTTCAGATAATACAACAATTAAATTGTATAGATGAATATTCTCAATAAGATTCTTTTCATAGTATGATTTCTACAGTAATCAGTTTAGTATTGCTGATCTTATGTTCTATTGTGTATTCGATAATAATATCTGTACATCATAGAGACGAGCAGGATCAATTCTAGTCGCGGTAATATCTCTGTAGTTTAAAAGCGTAACAAAGTTTCAAATACTACGCTTTGCTGAAAAATGTTTTCACTACAAAATGAGACTATTGCGAACACTGAGTGATTATCACAGCCGGAGAAAATGGCGTCAAGATAGGCCGAGATTAAATTGATTCTGGTCATTATATTTCCTAAATTATTTGATAACGCGAATCTGTGGGATATTTTAAAACACACAGGCAAAAAGAACAAATATTTCTCTACAAAATGTGTAGTTGAACTAAAATCTTTGATCCGGATCAAAAAATATGTTTTGATCCCGTGTGCATCACTATCAGTTCTCACTCTTTATCCTTGATATTTCAAGAAAGATACATTCATCTTTCTTTTTTTTTTGAAACTTTCGAATGATGGATGGAACTATCTACAGACAAAGTTTTGATTCGAATAATATGTTAGTATACCGATCAGAAATGGTTACTGTTAAATTATAAGTGCGAATATTTTTAACAATCTCCTTATGCTCGATGGGATTAAATTAGAGTGAAAGACTTAAAATCATTTGTACTAATTTATTGTGACTTTTGTTTTAAAACATAATCAAAGATTGAATATTATTATTAACTTAATCCGACATTTACAAAAACGTTTTTCGTATGCAACGTTGCATAGTCATCTACTGTATAAAAGTCTTAAGAATGAACTTCTCTACATCACAGACAGTTCCATTCTAATGTAAATTTGGTATTTTTATCTTCAGTTCTATATATATTTTTTCTATTCATCGAAAAAAAATACACAAGAGGAGAAAAAAACCAAATAAACAAACAAGAAAAAAAGAATGGGCAATGTAGCAGAAATTCGATCACTGCTCATAATCAGATAGTAATTGTCGAATGTATATAAATGTGTGTCTCTCCATTTTTTTTTCATTTTTAAAGATACAACAACCAACAACAAAAAAATATGACAAAACAACAGGAAATAATAATGATAGTAGTAAACGAACGAGCAAATGTCTTGAATAAAAAAAGAAAACGAGAAAGAAGAAAACAAATAAACACATATGTGGTTTGCCGATAGGCACAAAGAAAAATACCAAGATAATTGCCCAGATGATATTCTGTTATGTTTTCTCTTTGTTGAATCCAAAAATACATAATATATATATATAGAAGAAAAACAAAATTTCACAGCTATTGGGTCAATGCAGAAATCGTGCTATTTGATGATGGAATATCGCCGGATGAAGAATTTGATGGTGTTGATTTATCATCATGTTCATCTTTTCCATCATCATGATCATTATTTACTAACGCCTATAAATAGGAAGAAAAATATATATATATCCTATCAAAAATTAAGAAATAACAATGCAAATAAATAGACTGGTAAAATAAGATATTCAACATAGTTTGTTCATAACATAGAAAACGATAGCGGAAATTTCGATATGATCTCTAGAAACTCCTATAACAATTAATGAGATCAACTTAACTTAACCTTACAATCTAATCGTCTTAAATTTCAATAAAACTATGAATCATACTCTTCCGATAGTATTAACTGTTGAACCAATGAAATCTCTTATGCCAGTAAATCATTCAAGAACATCGTGTGTGAAAGAAAAACAGAATAAGTGAAATTAATGAATATATTTGCAAAAAAAATGTGAATTATAATGCATATAGAGCAATAGCTATGGGAAGAAATTGAAATGCCATGTTGATTTTCTTGTATTTCGCTGAAAGATATATTTCTTTTTCATGTATGATTTATCGTTTTTTTTGTTTTAAATACGAGAGAAAAAATCATGTGTAATTACCCCAATGCTTGAATTTGCTGTATTATTTGTTCCTTTTAATAGAGAATCATAAGCTGTTTCAAAAACAGAACGTCTATTAAGAGTAAAAAAAATATTTATTTTCTTTGCTGTTTATGTTCAATTAAATTTACTTTGAAATAAAACCACCGCCAGCTGGAAGTGCATCACGAATAGATGATTGTTCATTAAGAGATGTCACAACTTGTTGCCAAATTGTATTAGCATCTAAACTTGTTTTATTTGGATAACGACCACAAATTTCTTCAAAAGAATAAAGAAAATAACTTATGTAGTATTTAATAGAAAAAGATCAGTAAGTACGAGTACCACGATTACTCAAAGTCATGGTTTCATAAGGATTATCATATACTGTCAGATAAGATTTTATTATGAAATATTAGATCGTATTTAAAATTTTATCTTTGTTAAATTAATTTTCTTTAAATAGACTCGGAAATTATCGTCACGTTCTTCAAGCATGATTATTATCTTACCCGCTGTTTTTTTTCGAATTTCATTATTAAGTGTTTCATCTTTAGCTTTCCATTCTGGTGTTGGTGTTGGTGCATTTTTAAATGCAATAATAACCAAACTCATATTATCTTTACTACCCTAAATTAAAATTTATATTGTTGTTTTTTAAATTTTTATCAAAAGAAAACAAACTTTATATAAACACATATCAAGTACTGTATTTGCAATTTCACAAAGATCATCTGTTACATGCATACGACCAAGTATATATGTAGCTAATTCTTCATTTGTAAGTACATCCCATATACCATCACAAGCAAGGACAACAAAAGCAATCTGTTCATCTTGTTTATTTGAATGTGCATAAAAAGTAATTTCAGGTTCAGGTGAAACTAATTGTTGATCTGGACGACGATTACAATTATTTTTATATTCAAAATCGCCAAGAGCACGTGATACAGCTAATGAACCATTGACTCGTTGAATAAGTACAGTACCACCGGCTTCATGTATTCGTTGACGTTCAGCTTGATCACCTAAATACGTAAACATTATATTACAATAATAAAATAAATAAATATTCACTTGGTTTATGATCTTTTGTAGCAAGAAGAATACGTCCATCAGGCGATACAAGTATCGCTCGTGAATCACCGACATTAAGAAAATAAATTCGTTCACTATCAACTAAACATGAGATAGCTGTTGAACCACTTTTATCATCTATAATATATACATATATAATTGAATGATATATATTTCTATTTGATATACCTGGATTATTACTACGATTTTCTTCTCTCCATTCATTATCAAATTTAAAATATGCATCTTTCATAGCCATTTCAAGTTTATTAAAATCAAGTTGAGATGATGTTATAGTTGGTAAAGATTTTAAATTTTCATTATCTTGTACTAAACTATTCAATGATGAAACAATACGTAAATGAAGTTTTTCAGCTGATTTTATTGCTGTACGAAAACCAGCATGACCATCAAATATACCAAAATATGACCAATGTGACCAACGATTATCATCTAATTTAAGAACTGTAGCATGAGCATCTTCCATATCAACACTAAAATAATTATGAATATTAAATTAAGATAAATATATGTGTGAGAACAAAAATTCTTACCGCCACCCTTGCATTGATCCAAGACCATATCGAAGATCATCATTTTTACCACTACTGTTGTGTTTTTCAATTTTAGGTTTTTCCAGAAACTGACCCATTGATCTAAATTATGAAGAATAAAATTTAAAATAAATCTTTTTTATTTAAGAAATAATACAGCAGTGATGAATCATATTTTTATCGCTCATACGAATATTATTAATCATGTGGAAGGAGAAAAGCAATAATCATAAGTGAGATGATGAGTGATTGTTCTAATAGAATCGAATGTCAGATGTCATTAATAATAGTCAAGTGTATTCTCAATTCGATAATATTTTATGCGCCTACCTAAATCTTGACAAAGACGAATGAAAAGTATCTTCTGTATTTGTCGATGAACTATGACCAGAAAAATTAAAAAACTGTCGCAATCTTGACCAACTATCTCCATGTGATTGTGTTGTATTTAATATACAATTCGATCGATTACGAGTTACACTTTGTGTATCATTTTTACCAAATAATGATTCAAACCACCATGATGATGATGATGATGATGCTTCATTGTTTTCAATCGATGGTGATGGTGGTTCCGACATTCTTTTTCTTCTCTTCTTTGTCTATCTATTTGTATCACGAGTGGTCGAAATGCACGTGCTTTATAGAATTTTTTTGTTCTTTCAATCCCACACATATAACGCAAGAGAATTTTTTGGTATTTACTATGCTTACATTCTTTTGCTTTCACAAGTCAAATAGGATGAAGGAACATTATGATAAAGAAAGAAAAGAAAGAACGAGCAAAGGTACGGATCTAATATTATATAATAAATAAAATTACACACCTGTTTGTATATTGTCACAAGACACACGCACACACGTTCACAAATAATCGACTAAAGTTTATTGATTTAATCGCGATCGATTAATATTCTAAAAAAAATAATTATTTATTGATTTAAATATTTAAACAAATAAACTTACATATAAGAAGAAAACATTCATTTAAGATCAATTCAATTTAATTCAATTCTAAAATTAAAACAAACATTTTATTGATTTTGAAAAGATAAATATTAAATTTACTACGTATCAGATTAATGTGTTTCTTAGGATCAATAAACAAGATAAACATTCGGCACGTGTCTGTCAAATCATATTGATCTAATTAATAGCAATCTCTTTGCCTTAGAGTTTCCAATGAAACAAATAAATTCTCGAAGGCATGTCTTTTTTTAGAGTAAACGAAATTTTTATAACTGGATTATCAATAATTCTTCAATATTGAATAAACTTTTTGTCATCTATTTGAAAAATTTGTTGAATATTTATTTAATTTTATCAAAAGAAGCTATCTTTAATGGAAAACAATTTGTCGCTGGGAGGAGGTTATGAAAAAAAAACAAAACAAAAAAATCTTTTAATTATCTAAAGAAGGGAAGAAAAAAAAGAAGATTCATTTTAACCAGTGAAGCGCAAAACTTTTTTTTTACCGTTAATAAATGAATAGAAAAGATGACGAGGCGCGTTCAAAAATGATTTCTTTTTTTTTATTCTTCTTCTTCTTCTTCTTCTTCTCTTTTTGTTTCTTTTCTCTCTCTCGTTGTATCTGACCGTCATCATCACCATTGACAATGCATATTTGTTCTCTATTTTGACGGGCTGTATTTTTATTGGAGAATATTTCGATCCATTCAACTAATGAATAGATGTCGATACGATAATTATTATACACCTGATTTTTATTTTCTCTTGTTGATTGGCGTTTCTTTTTCGTTTCTTTGCTTGCTTAGAATAATTGATGAGAATTAAGTCAATAATCGATGTTAAATGTAAAAATAGTTTGAAAAGAAAGAAAGAGAAGAAGAAGAAAAAAAGAAAACGAGGAACCATCTAGGTACCAAAAGAAATATTCGCTATGTAAATGACTACTTTCAATTTAAATATATTCAACCCAACATTTACCAAATAACAATATCGAATTCTATATACCTATCTTAAAGAATATTAATATTCTTTTTGAATTAAATAATATCAAAGAAAAAAAAACAAGGTCTTTTTTTTCTGAAAAGATCAAAACGAAATTAGTTTTTCTTTGAAAATTATTCATATGTAAAGAACACAAACAATTGTATTCTTTTTTCAGACATTGATTAATGGGTTCATTAAAAGTCGTCCTATTAACAGAATCTGATTCACTTAAACGAGATGCAAATCTTCCATATAAATATTATGGACAAAAATTATGGGAAACAATTCAATCTGTTATTGTAGAACTCAATTATCGATGTGAATCAGTTGAATTACATAAACTTGATTTTCAAGAACATGAATCCGTTAATAAATTTCTCAATGCTGATATTGTTATTATGGTAGTATTATAAATAAAATATTCTTTTGTTTTATTTCTATGAAAATTATATTTTTCTTAGGATGTTACAAATCAAGATAGACGTCCAACATTTATGTATCATAAAGGAAATCGAGAAAGTATGGATTGTATGGATGATATTGTATTAATTCAAGCTAGTGGTGTAGAAAATGATAGTGCTATTCAAGATCTGAAAGTAGAGATTTTTAAAAGCATGAAATTTCAGTATATAAATATTCTTTTCTCTATAGACTACATGTAAGATAAAACGATTAATTGTTTATCGATATGATGAAAGCAAAGATGTGTTTTATGATACAACACAACCAGCAAATCCTTTTCCATTGCTTAAAACTAATCTCAAATGTTTTCTCGGACGAGCTGCTACCAATATTAAGTATTTACAACAAAAAAATATATAATAAAAACAATTCATTTTTTGTTTGTTTTTTAATTTTCTATAGAAAAGGACTTGCTGATCGTTGTATATCACGTATGAATCAAAGTAAACACGAATCAAAAGATGATAATACGTTTCGTGATGTATATTAGAATATTTAATTATAAAAGAAATAACAAAGATTTATTTTTTTTTTCTTTCGAAGTTTTTATGGAATGAAATATGTGCTGAAATATTAACTGAAACAAATCAAGAAGATGTAACACCAAAATTAATTACACAGTTAATGTATGCTTTTCGAGATATACAAGTAAAAAATTGTTATCAATTTTTGTTATATTCAATAAAAATTATTTTTAAATTAAAGGATTATGAATCAATGATACGATTAAATCAACGTTGTGAACAATTAGGAGAAATAGCAAAGAAAATAAAAAATAATATGATGATTTCATATTTAACAGCATTTGCTTGTAGTCGGTAAATATAAAAACAAATTTTTTTACATGAAAATAATTTATTTTATTAGACGAAATCAACCCGGTGATCGTGATGAAGCTTTGAATATTCTTGAACGTTTATGTCAAACGAAAAAAACTGAAAGTGAATTATCAAATGATGTTATATGTTTATGTGGAAGAATTTATAAAGATAAATTTACGGAATCAAGTTGTACAGATCAAGAATCATTAGAAAAAGCTATCGAATGGTATAGAAGAGGTTTTGCTGCTGATCCAAATATTTAGTAAGAAAAGATAAATTTTTCACTTTATTTCATTTATTCAATAATGATTTAGTGCTGGTATTAATTTATTATTTCTTTTGGCAATTAAAACAGAAGATTTAAAGAAAAATAATGAAGCTTATAGAATCAGTAAGTTATATCTATTTATCATATTTCCGTAGCTCGAATAGATGATATGTGTCATTTAATAACTGGATTTTGATACGTGTGTTACAAGAGTATGATGTATTTTTGTATATTATGAACTTGTTTTTTTTGAATAGTCAGAACATTTGATCATACTATTGAATGATTCTATATAAAAGAAAATATCATAAAACATCAATCATAATAGCATATATGTGAAGATTGATCATATTTCATTAATTATGAATATTCCTATAGTATGTTTTATCTTCAAATGGATGATATTCAACTAAGAGTAGGTGTTTTGAATGAAAGCAAAAAATGATTCCGTAAAACTTTAGGTTCTTTTTGACATAATTAAAGAAAAAGATTTTATAAGTCATCAGTAGATTAATCCATCGATTTTCGTGTAATTTCATGGCTTCAATACCTTTTTTAATATTGGTTCTAAATAGACTGGTTTTGTGCGTTAGTAATTGGTTGAGATATTCATACCGACAATTTATTTAGGAGTTTTTTTACTGATATTTTACATGTAAGTGAAATAGCGGTTCAGAGACTTTGTTACTCGAATGATAATCAAATCGCTTTAAATACTAATCAGATGTAAAGTATAGAAGACTAACGTTTTTAGCCAAATCAAATGCTTTTTTCTTAAAATTTTGTTGAAAGCTCAATATTTAGAGAAAACGACATTCACTTTTGCTGAAATATGAACTATAAGATTTGCAGTTGAATAACATTTCAAATCGACATATTTCTTAACTTTGACAGTAAATTTAATCAAATAATTATAATTCCCATAGAAAGACTTCTGTTATATTAGACTGTTTTAATCTTATAGACCGTATCGATGTGTCAATTGTAGAGTAGCTCAAGTTTCATTTGACAATGTATTGAAATTAGAAACTTTCGCATCTATATGACCATAAATGATAATATACGACTCAAGCTATTTCCTAACGAAAAATTCTTCCATTTAAACCTCTTTGTTTTCATAGTCATTCAATTGAATGCTTTACTTGGTAAAAAAGGACGTGCACTTCGTGATCTAACAGATTATTGGGATGTAGCAACTTATTTTGAATTACATGCTGTTCAACGTGATTGGTCAAAAGCTTGTTTAGCTGCATTACATATGTATTTATTGAATCCTCCAATATGGTATTTAAAATCGACAATAAATAATTTAAAAATTCTTCATCAAGCTACACGTATTCGTGATAAAGAAAAACTTCGCGAACAAACTACAACTGATAATAATGATGATGATAATGTTTATAGTTTTTGGATAGATTTTTTTAGTGATGCAATTAATTCAAATTCAACATCAACTGAAGAAAGAGAATTACCAGCACAAGTACCAGTATGTATTAAAAATATATATATAAATAAAAATTTCTATAATTTGTTTTTCTTCAAAAGATTCTTGTTTGTGATAATTATGAAAAAAATGATGGTACAACATTAAAAAATGTTTATGTTGAATCACATTTACAATTAAATTTTCATACGGGTAGTGAACCTGAAACACTTGTTATATATGCACTTTCAAAACAAAAACAAGCACAAACAAATGAACTTGTTCGAACAATAGCAATGGATTCTATAAGATCAATTATGTAAAATTTTAGATTGAAATATTTCTCATATAACGAATATAATTACTTTTAGAAATGTTAAACGAGATAATCGATCTGTTTTTCTTTATGCATATGAAAATGCTGAAGCATTTTTATCCGTTGAACTTCAAATATTTTTCTCATCAGCTGAACGTCGTATAGCGTAAGTAAAAATAAAATTATACATTTAAAAAAGAATGTTTTTTTTTTTTATGTAAAGATTCAATGAAAAAATGTCAAAATATCGTGTACAAACAAATATAACTGAAGTGGAACCAAAATTTGATGTAAGTCATAAATTGAAGCAGGAAATTTGAATATCCGCCATATAAATTAAAGTTATTTCCGTTGTATTACTAGTCTGAGGTAAAGTATTATATTTGCTCGATTTCGATTAAATGAAGTGTAAAAATTATTATTCTTTTCTAAATTTAAAGATTATTTCTATATTCTTCTGTATATGTGATGGGAAAGTTGATTGTGTGGCAAATTAGGTGTGAATGGAAGTATTATCTTTATATTACATCCACATCCTACTACGCTAATTCGCTAAATAAATAAATCACTTCTATTGCTAGCTCCTCTTATATATACATTGAATTCAGCTATTTTCATAGAAAAGAAAAACGAATAAAAATAAATAGTATGAAATTTATTATCTCTTCAAAGTCATTCTATGAACTATTTGTCTATACAGACTATTCTGCACTGTATTGCATATCTATGAGATACTTGTCATACATAATATAGAAAACTTTCGAGCGAGTGTCTTATTTAATTTATATTTTAGCTTGTCTTTGATCGTGATCCACATGAACAACGTACAGCACTTGGTCAAGGAACATATGGAAAAGTTTATGTTGCACATGATCGTTATACATGGAAAAAATTTGCTGTTAAAGAAATTCCTATGCGTAATCCTGTATTTACTGATGTTTTAGAAAATGAAATCAAAATTCTCTCAACACTCAGTCATAGAAATAGTTTGTTTCTTTTTTACTATAGATATAAAATAATTAAATATTTTTTTTTGTAGTTGTTACTTATTATGGTTCAGCTATTGATCGTACAAAAAAACAACCTGTCTTTCAAATTATTATGGAATATGTTGATGGGTTTGTTATTTTAAAAACGAACTTTATAAAAATTATTTATTGATATTCTAGTGGAAGTTTGTCACAACATCTTGCCAAATTTGGACAATTTCAAGAACCTGTTATACGAAATTATACACGACAATTACTAGAAGGTTTACAATATTTACATGAAAATCATATTTTACATCGAGATATTAAATCAGCTAATATTCTTGTTAATTCAAGAGGGTAATAGAAAAATTCTGTTTGTATTTTTTTCAAATTAGACTTAACTTAATTTGATCTTATAGTGAAATAAAAATTGCTGATTTTGGTACATCAAAACGTCTTGCTGGTCTTCAACTTTGTACAGAAGATAGTGTTGGTAAGAGATATTTATTTTAATAATAAATAGATAGAAAAATCAATTTTATTATTAGGTACACTTCAATATATGAGTCCGGATGTTGTACTTGTACCTCCAATGGGTTATGGACCTGAAGTAAGAATATAAAAGCAAATGATCAATTCTAATTATTCTATATTAAGGTTGATATTTGGAGTGTTGGATGTACAGTTATTGAAATGGCTACAGGTAAAATGCCATTTCATAAAGGTAACATAAAAAGAATAAAATTTTATTTTATGAATTATTTTGAATTATTTTTCCCTATTAGTTGTTAATACGGGTGCATTATTATTGAAACTTGGTAACGAACGACAAGCACCTGATATTCCATCAGAATTATCTGATATAGGAAAAGATTTCCTGAATCGGTAAATCAATTTTATATTTTATCGCAATTTAGTTTTAGTATTTTTAGATGCTTCGAACCAACGAGCAAACGTCCATCAGCGAAAGATCTGTTAAATCATGCATTTTTCAGGTATGTGACATTGTTTACGAATAGTATTATTTAATATCATGGCGACAGTCTTTGAAATTAAAAGAGAATGCATAGAATAGAGTCAAACTAAGATTCTTCGGACTGTATAAAGATTAACTCTACTTTTGTATATTAATATAATTTTTGATTTAGAACAAAATCAATATTGCCAAGAGAAAATACTGGCAGTAAGTAAAAGTATTTTATATAAAAATTATGATTATCTTCAAACTATTTTTAAGATAATAATGGTGAAAAAGGACATGAAGGGTAAAGATTAAATAAATATTTTCTTGATGTTAAAATTATTCAATTGATTTCTTTTTAGTGGAATACATGTATCTGATTCTGCAGTACCATATCAACGAAGTGTTAGTGAAGAAGCTGGTGTACTTGAGTATGAAAAAGATTTTTTTTTATTTAATATAATCAATTTATTAATATAGACCAGCACGAAGTCTTGAAGCTCAAATTTCAATTGATGATCTTCGTCGAACAGAATTAATGAATATTTTACGTAATAATGATAGTAGAGAAGATGTAAGATATATTCCATTAAAATAAAGAAAGAAAAATTTTCATTTCTAGCTTCTTGGTCAATGGATGGACTTAATTGATGAAAAAAACGAAACAGAATTTTTAACAATTGTAAATATTAATTTCATCTTTGATATTAAAACATGATTTTATTTAGGATAAATTACGTGTATTATTATCGGGTATTTGTGAATATTTAGAAGAATTAAATGAACTTACACTACAAATAGCACTTGGTATAGAAATATCTTGTATTTATTCTTCTTTTTTTTAATATTACGAATGATTTAATTTAGATAAAATTAGTGAGCATGTAGAATTGGAAAGTGTCGTAAGAACTGATGTTGAACGATCATTCTATTTATTTATTAAAGCGGTATGTTATCCTTTCGAGAGTTGATCTGTATGAATAATGGGTGAAACGATTTGGTAGTCAAACGTCGAAAACAAAATATCGATAAGTAAAAATGTCGAAAATTCTATCATGAGGGTGGGTGTGCGTGTGGATATGAACATCTCCTCTTCCAGCTTACACCCCCACCCACCCTCTTTGAATTTCATGATGTCGACGTTTTACATTGTCGACATTTGATTTTCGACATTTTGTCGTCGACGTTTGACTACTTCCCCATTTATAGAAACTATTCACATTTACTATTTAATCTTTTAGGCTAATACTGTTCTTTCATCTAAAAATGGTCTACTTCCTCATGTTTTATTCGCACTTGATAATGTGATTCGTCGTGTTGCTGAAATTCTTGTTGGTCTTATTCGGCCAGGTAAAAATTTTCATATCATTTTAAAAAATGAATTTTTTTTGTATATAGACTTTCGTCCTGCTATTAATAATATGGCACCAATAACACCAAGTGATAGTTCAACAATGAGTTCAACTAATGTACGTTCACCATTATTTCTCGCTATTAGTGATACAGCAAATGATGAAATTACTCGTTTACATCAACAATATTTAAAACTTATTCGAACGAACCGAGAGTAAATTTTTGTTTTCATCTGTGAAATATTTTTTATTTTATTTTTATTAAAGTCAACTTAATCAATTGGTTACAATTGAAAATAATAATGGTGCTCAATTATCATCAATTAATCAATCAAGGTAAATTTTTTTGTTAGAGATTAGAGTTTTTGGGAATATCGATTTCGAATATAAAGATATTTTTTTATTCTTCTTCTCCTCATACTTCAGTAGTTCTTCGATTTTTCGACGAGTGTTTGAAGCTATAATCAGTACAATCAGGTTAGATATTTTATAAAGAGTGATGCACGATTTCATTGCATTTACTTTTCTTGAACTTAGCTTTAACAGTTTTTTCTGCGTTTGATTCTAATCTGATTTATTAAAGAATATTTGATGTTTTGTTTTCTATTTTAGTAAAACAGTTGGATTGTTTTTACCAGCTGAAAGATCACCGGAAACGGACAATATGGTAAATAAATTTTTATGATACGATAGATTCTTTGATGGAAAAGTAGAATATTCTTTTCAAGAATAAATATGAAAAACTCAGGCACTAGATTGTATTGAATGAGAACAAGAAAGAGTACCTATACACAGTTATAGTGCTGAAGTATCTGGAGATCATTTGAAAAACTAATTCGATTCAGTCTTCCTTTGCTCACTAACCTGTTCATGCATGCATCGTAATCACCATATGAGCAATCGATAGTCTTTTCTTGGTTATGGATCATAATAGATAATGTTTTGAAAATAAAATCTATTGTTTATTATTTACAAGAGCTAATAATTTCAACAGAAAAATTCATTTTATTCAGCGTTATAATAATTTTTGCATTCTGTTGGTCTAATTATATGATAGTCAACATTTCTTATCTTTAATAATGATAAATTTCTTCATTATTAAGAATTCTGAACTCACAACTGCACCCTTATTAGACGAACAAACGAAGTTAAATCATTTAACACCAATGGCAGGAGTATCAAAGCAAATAACGTACGTTTCTTCTCTTGCTGTAAGACATAAATTTTCATCTATTGAATTTTGCTTTTATAGACGAACACGATCACTGATTTCTATTGAACAAGAACATGATCAATTGCTCAAATCAATGATTGATAATCGAACCCGTCTTAATCAATTACTCAATTCTTCGAACATTTGATAAAAAATTTGTATCTTATTTTTTTTTCTCTAGTAGAATTAGTACATAAAAAAAACCTTATTTTTCTGTTCTTCTTTGGTTAGCATGACCTATTGAAATCCAATAGTTCTTTCATATTGTTCTTTTTATAAGATCAAACTGTTATCTTCTTTTGTTGTTAATAATCCGGCAACGTTCTGTGTTATTGTTCACAGTCGTTTCTTTTTCTACTTTTTCTTTTCTTGTATTGTATACATTTTATTATTATTTTGTCTGAATTCTCATGTATGTGAACTGTGTACGATCATTTTTGACATTAAATATCAACGAGTTAAATCGATTTTGGACGCTATCGCATCACAGAAGTTTTCTTTTAATATGATATATATATGTCCTATTATATCTCATCCAAGTTTAGAAAAACAACAGAAACTGAAATCAGAAGATGTACATTTTCTACACTGATTGTAGATTACTATAGTGTTTACTTATCTTGATGCAAAGAGATAGGTTCTGATAAATTTAGTTAATAATTGAAGAAACATCCGATAGGTTGTTATATGTTTTGACACATCTATTATCCGTATAAAACATCAACAGTTTAAACGAACTGAATATTTGCTGTTCGGTTCATTTTCAGCTTCTGCAAATGACTTCTAGTAATTGATATATCAATGAAACCTTGAGTAAAAAGAATAACCTTCGTGTTGTACAATATTATCAACATATTTTAGTATGCAAAGAGATAAATAACTGAATCTTTTATTGATAACCCAGGCTATTTCTGTTCGCTTCTTTCAAAGATATGGTTGGATATAAACCTCTTCAAAAGATCTTCTACCCCAGGCATATCTAATGCGATGCGAAGTTAAGCATTTATGGAGTCCTTCGCGAGTTTTTCTCGTACATATCTTTAGTAAAAATGATAAAAATTCCATTTATTTCCTAATATTAGAACATTGGACAACTTTTCAATGAGTAACAAGAATAATCATTTCATGCGAGAAAATGCAACTCGAGTCAAAAGTGCTTGTTTCTTATGAAGAAACGGCTAAAGAAGAAAAATAAAAATTGCATTCCAAAATTTCCATACTATTCCGTGAATATTGATAAACTCCCAGCCGCATCTCTAGTATTAAATGTTACGATGAAGTCCATATAGAAGACTATACGTTTTAACTGTTACATGCAAAGTATCGATTTCGAAGTAACGGATAATTCTTACATCTACTGTACTTTTCTACTATCCTGCGCAGTTTCCCTTTCATACGAATTATCTTATTGAAAACAATATAAGCGTTCGAATGAATTTAAATCAGTTAGGCACGTCTTATACATATGATAGTCAAAAGCATATTTGTTTGACTCAAAGGATTTTTTTGTTCTTCTAAAATGTTATTTTTTTGAGTACAATACTGTCTTTATATATATATATATTGTCCTATGGAACGAAAAGAAATAGATGTTGCCATCTATGTTTTTAAAACAAGATCATATACTTCTCTAATTCTATGTGTTCTTCTTGCTTTGCCTCTTTGTTTATCCCCTTCCTATCTCACGTTCTTTTTCGCTACGCAGAAAAGTCCTCACAGTTACAGAAATATGCCACTTGATGATGAGAAGTCTATGAAAAGTTCCGCTAGTTATACCGAAAGTTCCTCTTAGGAAAACGGCAGTCAGGGTATAGTCTTACACGCGATAAATAGTTAATCTTCTTTTTATTAACGACTAAATTCGTTCAATTCCCTATGAGGCATTAGGTAAAATGTACATTTTTTTGATGTTTGACAGCACTCACTTATCATATCTTAAAATACATTTGATAATGATTTTTCATTGAATAAGCATATATTTTAACTCTGATCATAGGCTTGAATTTTCAAAAAAAACTGTCCTCAAAGAGTTAATGAAGTAGATGAATGGTCAAACAGTAATATTATAATAAATATTAACGAGTAATGCAAAAACTTTCTCACAAATTTCTTCAGAATGTGAATAGACAAAACACTTATTAAGACCTATCTTTGAGACAGTGTAGTTATAAAGAAATTTCTGACTTTTTTCAAGAAATGTTAATCAAAAGCTAATCTTGTTACCAAAGTTTCTAAACTACTAGTATAAGAATGCATAATTCTAAATTGGCATAAGATCGAATCGAATCTGCACTGGAAGAACTATCGACCGTGAATTAACTCATGAGCTCACTTGAAAAAAATAATATAAAGATAAATTATCTCAATTCAATTTTTAATGCGTCAATCATATAAATAGGCTTATTGAACAATGGATAAACATATGAATAGATGTGATGTCGCTCAAAAAAATTTGTTGAATATTCTATAGATCGTGAATTATTCACTAAATTATAGCGATTTTTGTGTGGTTGACCCTTAATGAGTTCATTCATTGTATGTATAAATGAAGAAAGTTCATTTATAAAGAAATGTATATATACAGACAAAAGTGCCATCGTCAATAATGAAAATGAATAGATCTAATGTTTATCTACTTGATTTACCAAATGAAATATTATTTAATATTTTAAAAAAGCTTCAAAATGCCGATGTTCTTTATTCATTACTTGGTATTAATAATGATCGACTTGATAGTATTGCACGAAACGCAATGTTTTCCAATATTCTTAATTTCATATCAAATGTTCAAAATACAATAATAAATGATTTTCAACTTAATCGATTTTGTGATTATATCTTACCTGAAATTTCTCACAATGTCAAATATCTTATTGTTGAATCAACGTCTATAGAACGTATTCTTCTCGCTACTCATTATCCAAATTTAATTCATTTGAAAATTTTTAATTTTCAATGCGACTATTCATTACAATATTTCACAGGTATAAGCAAATATCTATTTCATATATAATGCAACAATATTTTACTATTGGATTTTAGATGATTCATCGCTTCGTCAAATTTTCAAACAACAGATTAAAAAACTTGATCTTGTGAATAAAGATAGCGAAGTTGGACTATGATTATCAAATGATTACACAAAAAAAGTATATGCACATATATTGACGTATTTCGAAAATCTTGAGCATTTAAACATTATTCAAACATCCAGTTTCGGATATCCATCATTAAGACTTTCCAGATTACCATCGAATACTTTTTCTTCTATGATTCTTACTTATTTATCTATTCGTGTGACAGATTATACTGATTGTCTTTATTTACTTGATGGTCGTCTCAAACAATTAAATACATTCATTGTTCAAATTTGTTGCATGAATATGGACTCTTCAATTGTATATAATTTGGTAAGTTTTAGACAGTATAGAAGTTCGTTCATGATCCTCAATATTAAATGATTAGAATTATCGTTTGAGAAAAATTATTCATTTTCATTACATAGGATGATCTACCTAATCTCACATGTTTTTCATTAATTTCCTACACTTTGATTGAAGAAAATGAAAATAGAATTGTATCTCTTCTTCATCGTATGTCGAATCTGGAAAAATTAACTTTATATTTACGCTTTGTTTCTCGGAACAAATTCATTGATCCAAAATCTTTTATAAACAACTTATCAACATATATGACACGAGTTTATTCACTGAAATTTTATTTTAGTATCGAAAATAATAGAAATGATACTCTTGATTATTCGTTCAATATTAATATACAATCTCAAGAAACATCTAATATTGTTTGTTGTAGTGTTAACACAGTTACGTATCATGTCTTTACGCTTCCTTTCGAGTTCATCAAGCTCGTATCTATTGGTAATATATTTCCAAATATTGTATTCAATAATGTTATCGAATTATGGATACACGATATTGTTCCATTTCAATATGAATTCTTTCTACGAATTACTCAATCTTTTCCATTACTCCAACGTTTATTTGTTACTGATTTAACATCATTATCATATCAGAGAAAGAAATCACCTAATAATATTCAAGCAGATCAAATCGTTAAATATCCTCATCTCATTTTACTTGATATTAAAGGACTAAATAATGATTGTATTGAGCAATTTCTCAATGAAACTAAAACATATTTACCATGTTTAACTATATTACGTGTCTCCTATGAACAGTTACAAATAACTACAGAAGATTTTACACGAGAAGTAACACGAAAGAATTGTGCCAATGTGAGAAGATTAATCACAGGAAGGGAAATTGTTGGTTCAAAAGATTATCATAATTATTTTCCTTTGTTGTAAATAAATGTTCATTTTTTTTATGCTTGATTATATGAAATTTAAAAATAGGAAAAAAGAGACAATTTTTTTTTGTTTAACGCTTTATTTATTTCTTATGACGAATTCGCCATTAGGCGCTGACAGTCTTATCACAAACTGAGCTTTAAGAAAAATATCGGCAACAGGAGAAATAAGAAAGTATAGAAGAAAATTTTCAACACTAGAAATACTGATCTGTTGTATAATAAAAGAAAAAGAAAGAAAGAACTTCTTCATTGTTGTTTCTAATTGTTTTCTTTATCTTCTTCTTTTTGCAGTTTTACTAAAGAAATAATTTAATTTGTATACGCATGTTTTATTGAAAATAACTCATACCTAATTTCTTGATTATTTCTCATTAATCATTAAAATTTCATTCTTTTGAAATTTGAGTTTATATATGCTTTCTTGGATCTTCTTTATTTCATCACGATCTACTTCATTTTCTGTTTTTGTTTCTTCATGATCTACCTCATTTTCCTTTTTTATTTCTTCATTAAGTAACTTGTTTTGCTTTATTAATTCTTCTTCTAGTGAAGCTAAATACTTTTCATTGTCACCGATCTACAGAAAAGAAAACAGTTTACAATGTAATATTTTCTTGAAGTATTATTTGGTTACGAACATATTTAAAGTTAATTGGCTCTTCCGTGGATGAAAATGTATATATGTTGCACGACTTATGTAACATAAACGTTTAGTGGTATGTGATCAGGTTCGATTAAACTTCCCAGATCGAACAATCCAGCACGGAAACGGCCGGTTCTGCCTGGAGCTGGTTCCGGGGTCGAATTCTTGGCATTTTCTGACAGAGTTCCTGTCGAAAACGGTGTTTGCCAACGGTTTTAGTCGGAAATTCACAGAATACTGCTTCAGGAATCATTGTGCGGGGAAGTTCTTCTAAAAAAATAATTTAATTTGTATAGTTATGTTTGATTAAAAACATTTCATACCTTTTGCGGCCATTAACCGCTGGTTTGCCATGATGTATTCATTCCTGTCATATTCTAACTTATAGATATAATTTTCCATTCGTGTCTTATTGGATTTGCTCATATTTACGTTCATCAGTTTATTTTCATTTTTTATTTCTTCATCAAGTAGTTTATTTTTCTTTATTAACTGTTCTTCTAGTGAAGCTAAATATTTTTCATTGGCAGTGATCTACACAAAAGAAAACAGTGTTCAGTTTAACATTTTCTTGAAGTATTACTTTATCTAACAAATCTTCAGTAGTATCAACAGTTTCCATTTAAGTAAATGATCGATTTTCTTTTCGAAAAAAATTGTATTCGTTAGTGATTTAGTTAGATTAAACTTTATGGAATAAATATAGCTACAGAGAAGAGAGAGAGAGAAGAAATAATGATGTTATTAGATGGTATCACTTTTATTTTATTTTGATGATATCATGTTCACCATATCATACATTATTCCAGGTAATATAGAAAGAACGATAAAAAAAAGTATTATGGTAAAGAATGCACGAATGTCACCATGAAAATACAGTACATATTTTGAATAAAAATAAATAACAGAAAGTGATTCAGCCTTTACTGATTTTAACTGAGAACACAATATTCATTCGTACAGCTACCATTTTATATTGACAGAACAATCTTAACAAAAGCGTGATGTACAATTGCTTTGTCGATTCTGTCATTGTGTAGTTGGCATGACATTATTCTTTTTTTTTTTATTTTCCTTCTAACAAGTAATCGCAACATCAAACGAAATAAATGGCAAAACAAACATTAGGCTCATTCAAACCGAAGAAAAAATAACTACACATCAAACATCTCATCAACAGTTCACAATGGCAAATGAAACTACCACCAGCTTCCATACGCTACCGGCAGACCTTGTCTGCCGAATTTTGAATCATCAATCATATCAAACAATTTTATGTTCAATGACCAACGTATGTCAACGGTTCAATAACATTATAGACAGCTACGATCGATATCAGGTAAACTTTTATTTATTTATTCTCGAATTGTTTTTCATTCCTACAGTCGTTGTTTAAGTAGGATGACTTCAATAAAACAGATATGAATAAATCATTTACCCTCTCTTCCCAACTATTCATTCTTTGTATTATGAGAATATAAAAATAATGTCTTGATAATCAGCAACAAAATCACCTCTTTTTTTCTTTCTTTTCAATCTCTTTTTAATACTTCACGTTTCAAAACAGTTATGATGTCATAAACATACAAAATATGTATAAGAATGAAAAAAGGAACAAAAAGTTGTTTTTTTGTTTTGCTTGACGTGCATCTAAACACTTTCTAAAACGTCATTTCGGTAATAGAAATCAAATTTTAAAAGAAACTAACAGTCTAGAAGCTAGTTTATCTTGTTCTACCTAACATCCTAGATATTGTATTAAGGAATATCTCAATCAAATACTCCTCTGAGAGAATAGGCGCCTGTTTGATATATAGTTGACAGTCGATACGAATGGAGAGATCATTGGCCTACAACAATATTCACACTCTCATGCAATCACATCACTCATACTACTAAGGGGGATCATTTCTTCGAATAATACTACTTCAAAGTAGATTTTCTCACATCTGAAGCACACTTTCATATTTCATAAACCAGTGTTGTTTCACTCATACAAGCGTATGATGGCATCGAAAGCAACTATCAAACTCATTAAATATTCTAACTAGTATAAATCATAATCATACATTTAGTCAAGTTAGATAACTCACATGGGCTTCTGACTCAAAACACACATCGAATCTGATCAATGGACATGAAAGAAACTATCTTTTGTCATACCTACAGAATACTAACAATCAAATCATTTACTGCATTATACTGTCTTTTGATCATATAACGCTACGCTTTAAAATTCTTTGATACCGACACAATTTACAATCTATTATTTAATAACCAAACATTTTTTCTTTTTTCACAAACATTGGAGGATTTCAGGGACTGATAGATAAACACTTGCTCTCGGTAGTTCACCCTTCGTAATTCCTCTTAACGCCACATTTTCAACCGACAATCTTTAGTACTGAACTGCACAACATTTAAAATCATAGGAATATTCCGATTTGTATCTATACATTCCTCTATGTAGTGACAACAACATTCATTTTATTGATCTAACCTCATATAACACAGACCAGTCATTCTCTCTCTTCATCTCTATCATGTCTTTACTTCTATTTTTAATCTAGGAACTTAACACATTAAATCTCGAGCACAATGCACTTAGAGATGTTGAAGTACAACGTTTGGCTGATGCATTAAAGCACAATTCAGTAATTTTTATTCCCTCCTCATCCATATGATGTCCTTACCTGCACTTTTCATCTAGACATTCACCACATTAAATATCGCGCATAATCTGATCCGGCATCTTGGAGCAAAGTATTTGACTAATACATTACGACATAACACAGTAGGTTTGATTCCTTCTTCATTTATATTCTGTCTTTCCCTACATTATTTCATCTAGACACTGGCCACACTAAATCTCGGGTACAACCAAATCGAACATTTTGGAGCACGATATTTAGCTGATGCATTAAAACACAACTCAGTAATTATGATTCTCTTTTCATTTATATCATGTCTTTCTTTGCATCTTTTCATCTAGACCCTGACCACATTGACTCTAGAAATGAACGAAATCGGAGAAGTTGGAGCACAACATTTAGCTGGTGCATTGCGGCACAACACAGTAATTATTATTCCTTCTTCATTTATATTATGTCTTTACCTGCACTTTTTCATCTAGGCATTGACCACACTCAGTCTTGAAGGCAATCAAATCGGAGACGTTGGAGCACAGCATTTGGCTAATGCATTACGACATAACACAGTAATTTTCATTCTCTCATAATCTATTCTATGTCTTTACCTACATCTTTTCGTTTAGGTACTGACCACATTAAATCTACAACGAAACGGAATCCGTGAGGTTGGAGCATACCATTTGGCTGATACATTAAAATACAACTCAGTAGTTATGATTCCTTCTTCATTTATATCATGTCTTTCTCTGCATCTTTTCACCTAGACACTGATCACACTGAATCTGGCAGGAAACGAGATCGGAGAGATTGGAGCAGAACATTTAGCTTATGCATTACTGCGAAACATAGTAACTATCACTTTTTGTTCATCTATACAATACTTTTATGGCTGCACTTTTTCCTCTAGACAGTGACCACACTAAATCTCGAGCGCACTCAGATCGGACATGCTGGAGCACAACATTTAGGTGGGACATTACGATACAACACAGTAATTCTCATTCTCTTTTCATGAATATCACATCTTTATCTTTATCTTTAATCTAGACGCTTACTCAATTAGATCTTGGACACAATAAGATGGCGTGTGAAATTGAAGATAAAATATATGAGTTAGTTGAACGTAATAAGTTGGGAAGAAAATCGTAAATGTCGATATTAAATGTAATAGGATTACGAACAAATAGCTACTGACGATCGTATCAATATTTGTCTTGTAGTATGGTTTTTATAGAAATAATAAATAAAACTGCTTATTTTAGGACTTCATTTTTATTGTTATGATAATATATGCTGATTATATTTGCTATTTAGTTAGTAGATGGTTCTTTGAAATAATAAAGGCGCTTTGGCAGAATTATTTTATGAGTGTGCAGCACTTGGAAAGGTAGACTGAGATTCTGTTCAGTGAGGCTTAGGCAGAAAATGTGTTTTATGCTGGCGGTAAAATTCTGGAAAATCTTTCTGATTGGTATTGAATTAGAAAGGCTCTGTGCAATAGTAATAAAATCCTGACGAGCTCTTTTGAGTAGTGTTGAAGCGAAAAGTTGAGCCTGATGATAGTGAGCCAGAGAAGATTTTTTTCAATAATCTTCAACTGTAAAATATGCAGCATTGAAGAGTGTTAAAAGAAGAAAGATTTTATCAGACAGGACAAAACTCCGAAAAGTTCTGTGTTGAATAGTGGTAAATATAGTATAATGGTTCTAGTTTTGCAGAATGATGACAAGTTTTTGTAGTTAAATAGCTAAATCATCAAGGGTTTATACAGAATAAATAAGTTCAGTGCGAAACTGTGTGGTATGTAGCAAGCCTTTTCTATCGAAATAGTTTTGTGTATGTTCAAAAGCACTGTCATATTTATATTATATTGTACTTAATTGTAGTTCTTTGCAACTAAAAGAAGACGCATTTGTTTTTCATTGTGTTTAATTATATAAATCTCCTACTTTGAAGCCACATCCTAGTTCTTTTGACAAATTCAGCGATCTGTCGATGATTAATAATTAAATGAGACTAAAAAGTGTTTAATACTACGTTCATCAACCATTATTTCTACTATAATAGTGCTGTCTTAACAATAAACAAGGATATTCTATATTCTATGTTGCTGGTACATGATGTGTATGCAATACCTACGAAGTTTCTTTCTTCTAACATTAGAAATACCTTACCATGCACAAGATATATATTTTACATATTTGTTTTACTTTGATTCTCTTATATAAACTTGATCTTCATTCTAATACTGAACATATATTCTGATCTACGATTATTTCTATGTTGAGAGCTGATTTTGAAAGTCAATAACAAATATAATATTACTTTATTTTAAAAATAGTGCACATTTTACATCGCTATACGAGACTGTATATATACAACACACAAATTTAAAACTTTACATCTTGAATGGTATAATCTTTGCAACGTTATTAAGATTAAAGTTTAAATGTATAAAATTAGTTTGCTGTTATTCCAATTGATTATCAAATTGATGTTTAAAATCTCTCAAGTTAATATCACACAAATATCTTATTATATGAAATATTTCAGAAGATCTAATCTTGAGTTTTATTTTTTTTTACGGATGTTTTATTTTATTTGAAAATGATCATCAATATTCAGATGATCAAATAACATAAAACAGAATGCAATAAAAAGAAAGCAAAAAAAAACCATGACAAAATGTAATCATCTCTATTAACCTAAGGAGTAACAAGAGAAAGAACAACAACGAAACAGAAGAAAAAGAATAAAGAAGAAAATGTTCAGCCGGATGTCAAAATCATGTTAAAAATCAATATTGATTAATAATAGCCGTTACACGTGCATTAATATCACGTACTTTATTACGTAATAATTGTTCTTGTTCTAAATATGGTTGTTTTTGCATTTTACCAGTGACAAGTTTTTCAGTATGACCACTTAAAGCTAATTGAATTTCACGTTGTTGAGCATCAAGTCGTTGTAATTCAGCAATCTAATATGAAGGGGAAAAATAAATAAATAAATCTTTATGCTTTTTTTTGTATTCAAACTACAAACCTTTTCAGATGAATCAGCACTGTCAGCTTTAATTTTAGTTTGTAAAGTTGTTAAATCTTGTTGAACATTTTTAAGTTCATTTTCTAATTTTTTACGTTGTTCATTATAAATTTTAAGATCTTTATTTGTTTTATATGCATTCAATGCATCATCTAATTTTTGATAAAAACTTGATCGTTTGATATTATTTTCAACAATTTGTTCCCATATTGCTTGAATACGCATACGTGATTCGCTACTTTCGTTATGTGATATATTAAAATTCAAACGAGCTAAAATAATTACTAAACAAAATAAACCAAATAATGGAATGACAATTAACATTGGCTCATTAAATAACATTATTTTATCGAATGTATAATGTATTTCAAAATCTTGAATATGTTGAAATAATACATTTCGTTTGCTTATAACAACAACTGGACGACCAACAGTATCCAAATATGTATAATGTTTTTCATTAGGTAAACGTTGAACATCATAAGGTGGAGCATAAAATTCAATATTACGAGCATGTTCAGGTAAAATTATTTTAATAGTAGCTTGTTCAAGTAATTGATCATCATAAACATGGTCAACAAGACGCATTTTAAGAACATATTGATTTCCTCTAAAAAAAATAGAACAAAAGTATTAAATACAAAAGTTCAACTAGATCAAAGATGTTTCTTAAGTCTTCAAAAAGATCCGAAAAAAGAAATACTATGATTTGATATATCTGTAACGTACTTATTGAAAAGATATTGATATGATGGAACGTTATAACCGAGTATATAATGAGTTCTCCAGCCACCATATAATGGAAAACGTGGGCGAATTTCAACTTCAACTTGATCTTGCATTTCACGAACATGACTTGTTGAAACATTACCGATTTCATCACGATAATAAACATCACGAGCAGAAGCTGGTAATGATGTCTACAAAAAATAAATAAATTTATACAAAAACAAAACTCTAGATTTTATTAGAAAAACAAAATTCTTACTTTAAATGTCTTAACAGCTGAATAACTATCTTGTTTTCGTTGAAAATCAAGTCTTGAAAATGATCCTTTCAATTTAGCACCACTATGATAAATATCAATTGTTTCTTCAACAGCAATATTTCCCCAGTGTGATACTTCAATCCAACGTTTGATATTACTAACAGTTAAAAATGCATTATTATTTTCATAATGTAATGATATTTCATTTCGTGCTAATGCAGCTACATTTTCATATGGGCCATATGTTATTGTTTGTTCGCTTTTAGCAACAGGTTTTGGTGTTTGTGTATATGATTCAGCACGATCAGTTGGTAATGTAACAATAGTTTTTTGTGTTGTTGTTGCATAACGTGAATAATAGTATGCATTTGTTTTATATAAAACTAATTGTCGTTCCGCTTGAGTGATTTCTTCTGGATACATACGAAGAGCATTAGCATGAACTACTTCTATTTCAAGTGTAATGGTTTGACCAGCACGAAGATCACTTGGTAATTCAATACGATAAATAGCTCCTCTAGAAATAACAGATTATAGTAAAATATAATATGTATTTATTTTTATTTACTTTGTCTTATCAGTGGCTTCCTGTTTTATTGGTAAACTAGCTTGATCATCAGTGTTTTTGCCTTTAACCTAAAAAATAGAATATTTTTTTCCGTAAATATTTATTAAAACATATCATATAAATATGATGAACTTACAACAGCTCCGACGAAAGCAACATCATTAACATGTTGTGGTTCAGCGTAATAATCATAATAACGTACTGCTTTTGTTCCTCGATTTTCAATTGTTACACTTATTGTTTCTTTTGGTAAATGTGAGACAAGATCAAGTGTTCGCTCAACATTTGTATTGATCAAATTATCTTGTTCCTGTCCAGCAACAAAAACAATCGCGAGAAATATACACAAAACTGAAAAACGTATCATCTAGAGAAAATTAGATTTATATATATATGTATATGATATAATATTGAAAAATTCATTGTAACTGATATATTGAATCTAATTGCAAATCCTCTCTGTGGCGGCGAGTAAACGGTGACAGCGCGTCGTAAGAGGGAAAGTAGAACTGTTTGACCAATACAAAATAATTTTTTAACCTCAATTGACCATGTCATTTTTTTTAAACCGTTAAATTAATTATAAAAAGAACATAATTCATGTATTTTCGTTATATATATATAACGATTTACCAATTTTAATTCAAATGCATAAGTGAATAGAAATACTAAGTGCATAATGATGTCGCTGAGTAATACTAAAGAATATGATAACGAATATTTAAGTTAAAAGATTAGAAACAAAAGGAAAATTTGTTATGATCAAGTTTCTAATATACACTAAAATCTATTAAGCTCGAATTAGTACAAAACAAAAAAACAGACATAGTTTCAATTTATAATTATAAAATTTATTTTTCTTCATACATATGAACTTATAAATTATTACTATATTTTTTATAAATACTATGATGAAAAAAGACGATAATAATACAGTCAAGATTTTGCATTTGATTAAGTTTCTAGCAATGATTTTTTTGTCGGCAATTAGCATACTTCTTTCGGTATTGTTAAATTTTCATCAATGATTGCATTTGATTGAGATGGCACTAATATTTTTAATACAGGTATTTGTATTTCTAATGCTAATTGATTTTGTTCTTGATATGTTTCAATAATTTGTAACATAATAATAACTAGAATTGTTCCCATATAAAATATGAATATACTTATAGCTATATAAACAAGTGAGTAATGTTCAGGATGATTTTCAGCATGTGTAACACATATAACAGCAATACCAGCTAGAAAAAGATTGAATGAACCAAGAATATAAACGAACTGTTGAGCACACATCGTTTTATTCATTAATTGTATACTGAAAGAATAAATCTTTGTCTTTTGTCATTCGAAGGAGATATTTTTTACATTTGTACTATTTGATATATGAGCTGATGAAAGTTCTACACAGATGGATCTAATCATAGCATTTTTTTCTTTCCCATCTATTTGTATGAACATGTCAATTCTAGTTCGCATATGTAGTATCAAATATCATATGATATCAAGAGTTTATATCATGCGTAGTGCATCAATCATCGTTCATGAAATATATCTTCTAATTACTTTTATTATTAAAAAGTTATTTTTATATCATATTATTATTGTTGTTGTTGTTGTATAGAGAGAAAAAAAGGTGATAAGGTCGGTCCGTATTATTAAAGAAGTGCGTACCTATCGATATAGTTTCAAGTTTATAGAAATATATTTCTGTGTGTGTGTGTGCTTGTGTATTATATTTGATTGAAATTTGATCTTTTCTCTTCGTTTTTTTTATCATTATTGATGGTTCGATTCTCGCAAAGGATTTTATAGGTTAGAAAAAAAACGAAAAATGATTTTATAACACATAAAGAAACAAAAAGCAATAGTGTATTTATTATAGTATTTAGAAAGATATACGAGATCATCAAATATTAACCTCGAAAATACTTCCTGTCTCTCTTTCCACATTACTGTAAGCTATTGAATATAGTAATATATTAATGATGAATATCATTCTAGGTTCTTTAATTATATCATTCTTTCTATTATAAGTAAGACGAAAGATCAATATATATATATATATATTATAGAAACAAATCGATGCACATGTGCCTTTCATACTAATTATCAACTACTCATATCTTTGTATAGAATGTATGACGTAAATACAAAAGTATTCGTAAAAACAACAGAATTACTTGATAGAAGAACAAGGTTTAGACGTAATTGATACCAATCATTCTCTATATATAAACACAATTATCATTGAGACTAAAAAAGAATCATGAAGCAAAATGTAACTACTGCATTATATTTCGATTGTTAAAAAAATAGAAGAAAAGAATATACTATGCAGTTACGGCATTTGACTTTGATGATTATTGTTCTTTTTATTAATACATTTATACAATGCACAGAACATGAATCTACTCTACAGGTAATATATCTTCACACTTATGTGTTATTAACGAAAAAGTGACAAGGACAAGATGGCGTTTATAACCACAGACAAAAACCGATTGTAATATAAAAAAATTTGCAATCAACATATAAAGAAAAGTCAGCTGCTTATCTTTTTGTTCTCTTCCCTTATAAACCATCACACAAGTAGATCATATAATAAAATCAATCGAATTTATTTTCCAGGGATTTTTTTTCATTAAATTAATTATTAAATATTTATATATTACTTTGTAATAGACTACTACTACATCAAACGAAACAATAACATCTGTTCAAATTAAACTACCAACAACAACAACAGCAAAAGTACGATTATCTATGGAAGAGAAAATGAAGGTATGTATGATAAAATGTTCTTTTTCTTCTTCTTCAAATCTCAACAGGAGAAAAACAAATATAACTGTTTAAATTTAGAAATACATTGAAAAAGCTAAATCTAAAAAATTAGACGTATGTATATGATATTCTCGTGCATGTAATAATGAATGAATATAGCCTGATAATAATTTAGATGCATGTAATCGTTTATTAAATAGTCAATTCTACGTGTTATCTGTTATTCATTAATTGAGATTATCGAATAATATATACAAAGAAATCCTTCATAGTAAAACGACATATTAAAGAGACGATAATTTGCTCGTATATAGTTATTATCTCTATATAGATACCAGTAAGAAAAACATATATATAGACAACGGAAATGCCGTCATAGGATTCATGGTTAAACAGCTGCATTAGTTCTTTAGTGTTGTTACTAATACGTATAACGTTCGATTGATAATATAACAAAACTAACGAAGAAATATATGGTTATTTGACGGAATATTTTACTTTAGATATTTTAAACAAGTTTTAATAGATAGAAATGACAGACGTAATAACATCGTGGTTAATTTTTCTACTCCTACGTTTTGAAGATGTGAGTAATAAATGGGTATTTGTTTCTTTTACTAGTTAGAAAATTTCGATAAAAAGAAAACACTTTTAGTTAGCGGCCTCTTGACTATAATATTTAGTCGGTCAAACTATCGTCCAGTTACTATTAATTCTTTGTTTTTCAAAGAATAAATCTCTATAACATTGTTATATATATATCTTTTAGGCAATGAAGTCAGGAAATATGAATAGTACATTTTCCAATAAGGTATATTTTATAATAATTTTATTCTTTTAATTGACTGAATCTTTTTTAGAGTCTTATTGTTCCACCAAATAAACTTTTTCGTGAATATTTACGTTGTCGTCAATTAAGTTCTCTCAATAAATTACCATGTAAAATTTGATGTCTGTCTTTTTTTTGTAAACTAATTTTCATATATTTGTTAGCTCCTTCGGCATGTCCATATGATTATGAAGATAATATTCGTGTTTGCTGGAGAGCAACTGCTAATGGTACTTTGGCAACAAATATAATTGAATATGATCATGGTCAAAATAATTTTTATGATGGTGTTCGTTATGGAATTGAAAATTGTTGGTTTTGAATTATTATTATTTCTTAAAATGAATTCGTTCTTATTACTATAGGTACTCTAGAACGTTTTTGTATGAATAATGGAAGTTGGGCACCGACTATTTCACCTGATCTTCAATGTAAATTATGTGTTGGTGATGGTCGACCAGTTAAAGTATATTTAGAATTTTGAAAAAACAAATTATTTTATTTTTTTTTGAATATTTTTAGTTTAATTCAATTAGTATTATGATAGAGACAATGAGTTTAAGTTTGTCCCTATTATCATTAACCATTGCTGTTTTATGCATGATAAATGTCAAGTATGTTTCATATTTTTATGTAAAAATCTTTCGTTTAAAACTTCCTGATATAAATCGATATCCTTATCGACCACCGCAGCCCTATAAACATCATTTTCTTGTTAATTCTCGTTATCTATCGCTTATTTGCCAATGTTTCCTCTTATTTAGACGACTGCATTTACCCCGAAACCTGCTTCATATGCATCTATTCGTTGCTTTTATTTTTCGTTCAATTGTTAAATTAGTTTTTATTCATCTTATTATCGGTGGTTATACACGTTCAATGGTATCATATACACAAGATAAATGTGGAATGATAGAAATTGTATCAAAATCATCAAGTTTATTTCATGTAAGTCTTATTTCTATGTAAATATTACCAATTGGCGTCATGTCAATAAATAACTATAGATATTTGTCATTGAAGAATAACATGTCTTATAACGCATTATCGTAAAACAGTTGAAAAGTGTACAGAAGGAAGAAGTTTATAATAGATACATTTTTTTCAAGGATTTTAATTGCGGTTTGTTTAGTAAAACTACAGTTCATTAATCATTCCTACGGACTAATAAAAATCTATGAAATCTTCTGATAGATCTCATATGTTGTATCGAGAAGAATTAGTTAAACTGGGCTTTTATTGACTATGGTGCGAAATGCACTGAAACAATGTAAAATGAGAGACATGAAGCAGCTGTGTACTCAGAATAGCAAATTTGTTTCATCAATCACTGATAACTCAGCTGGTTTTGATAAGAGTACATCGGGAAAATGATTTTATTACTACGCAACTAGAGTTTTAAGGTTTTTATTCAAAAATAAATTAGTTAGTCTGTGCACAAAAATAAAAACATCTTAATTTTTCGCTTTCCCAATGACAGATTCTATTTTCATTTGTATTTATCTAGGTATTAGGTTGTCGAGTATTATCTTCTTTATTTTGGTATACTGATGCCGTTTCTCAAACGTTTATATTTTGTGAAGCCATGTTTTTATTTACTGCTTTAACCAGTCATTTATTTCGTGATCGTGGTTGTTTACCATTTGTATTATGGGGTTGGTTAAGTCCATTAGTATGGTTAATACTGTGGATTGCTTCACATATAATAACAGATAAATTAAAACAACGATCAACATGTTGGTTAGAAGCTGATAATACGACATATTTCTATTATTTTTTTTATGTTCCATATGCTTTTTATTTACTCGTTAATTTTGGAATATTTCTGTATCTCGTTCGACTTCTCTATTCAAAATATCAATCAAATAATGTTCAAACAAGTCGTACAGGGAATAGGTTAGTAAAAACGGAAAAGAGACATAACGCACCAACGTTTTTTTACGATTTCCCTACACATCAAAACATACAAAATCTTCAGAATGACAAAATTTTAAACAAGCAGAGTGTTCTGGTGGCTGTGGGTGTATAAACCACTCTTCTCTCATAATAGACACCCAAACCCACCTACACTCTTGACGGACTCCCAGTAAAAGAACCAATACCGAACACTCCGACAAATTACCGAGTGTCCGGGACACCTAGTACGTTATGTCTTTGTCCCGTAACAACTAATCTATATAGAAGTTTACTTTTTCTTCTATTAATTTAATTTTTTGTATATCTATAGACATTTAATTAAATCAATTCTTATATTAATTCCATTATTTGGTCTTCATTCATTATTTGTTATATGGGTTTTTTATCATAAAAATCAAGCACATACAATTTGGTATTATATATCCGTTATTTTCAAAGCGGTGTTTGGTGATTTACAGGTATAGAAATTAAATAAAATTCTCAAAAATAATTCCAATTTTTTTATAATTCAAGGGTTTTTTTACATCATTAATTTATTTTTATTTTAATACTGAAATTCGTTATGAAGTTCTTCGACAAGTTCAACGAACAATATTAAGTAGTGATACAATTCAACGTAGTTCAACTGGTGAAACATTATCAACACGTTTATCAACATTTCGTCGATCAATAAATCGACATCGTCAATCATCATTACAAAATCGTAATGAACGACGTCGAACAAATACATCATATCCTCGTTCATCATTACAAAAACCGACACATGACATTTGGGGAAAAAAATGCCTAGCATTGATTTGTCCTTGTTTAAACAAAAAATCTACTAAGAAAAAAACTTTTGTCGAACTACAACAGCAACAACAACTAGTTCAACAAAATATTTTAAATGATACATCACCAGCTGTTGTACCTGAATTAATTATTGATGATGATGATCGTGGAGGTGTATCATCACCATTAGTTATACATACACGTTCACATAAAGGTGCTATTGATAATGATGGTATGACATGTGATACAGTTTTAATTAAAAATGAAAGTGAAGATCAAGAATTATTAACAGATGAAAATGACGTTACTATTCAACATTCATCATTTTATATTGAACCGATATCACTATCATCAAATAATATACCAATAACAATACATACGAATAATTTACAACGAACTCGATCAAATAGCGAAGGATATCTTTTGAAAAATTTATCATCAAAACATTTTGCCGATAATAAATCATTGAAATGATTGAAATTTATTCTTATTAATGTACAGAACAAGTTCTTTTTTTTTTTACATTCCTCTGTTGTTTTATGTTAATGACAAAAAAAACCGTATAATAAAAGATTTATTTTTAATGATCGAATTCATTTAAATTTTGAAGTACCTATGATGGAGTTACATTATTCTACAGTACAAAATATTCTCTTTCTCGTAGAGAAGAGTCTTAGAAATTTGCTTGCTTGTGTGTCCGCAGGGTCAAAAAAAGCATCGAAAACCGATTTTCAGGAAAAGACATTTCTATAGGTAATTCGATGCAGGGAGTAGGAATCTGAGATCTGTTAGGTAGCCATGATGGGGCGGAGCAATGGTCAAAAAACATCGAAAATCAATTTTTTGAGGTTTTCATTTGTTTTTTCAGTAAATGTGAAGAAAATGCATTTCTACGAGAAAGAGCTAAGCGAGTCCTCAGACGAGCATTACTTGTTCATGTATAATCGATTAATTTGCTTGTTGAATTGCAATGGAGTGAATTCTAATTATCAGAATTAAAAATGAACACGATCTATTGAAACTGAAGTGAAAATGTACTAATCTATTCGTAATCTGTCTGCGAAAAAATAAGACTTAAGAATTAACTTATCCTTTTCTTTGTGGTCTTTCGTCGACGATCGATAGAAAATAAGTAATGGTCAGTCGCAATGATTTGTTGGCAAATGGTCGACTTTTTCTTGATTGAATTGAGTACTATACTCGTTAAAAATCTGTCCAATTACTTGCAGATGAAAATCAGTGAGCTCGAGAGTTACGCGTTTCTTTTTTTTGTATAATATATAAACACTCAACATTGATGAGAGTTCGCTTAGATAAGAGATAAATTTTAGTACTCATACGCACACTCTCACCTAGATAACTGAGAATGATAGCGTCATAGATTGATGCAGAACAAAAAAAAAGATTAAAGGTCAGGATTAATCACGAAAATCCGTTTATAGTTATTCTCAACCACCAATGAATCATATATCCCTCTATGATCATTCCTTTCCTGGAAAAAAATTAAACTATATCGATATATTGGACTAAGTTACAATATGTAGCGTGTTAGTTCAAAGAAATGACTTAAGACAATGGATATATCATTCTATCAGTTAAACAATCTTGATATTGTTGTTGAAAGCTGTCAACAAGTGTAGAAAATCAACTGTATTTATTTTTTTAGTCAATTATAGAACAACTACAACAATTATTTTTCTGATTCACGTTCATACATCATATTATCTTCATGTATTTGTTTAATTAAACTTTCATGTATAGATATTTGTTTAATTTTTTCTGTTTCTTCAATTTGTTGTTCATCAATACGCTTATAGAAAAGAACATAAGGTGTAGCTGATGTATATTGAGCACAATTTTCAATCATAGCTTCATATGAAGATAATGTTACAAGATCATCATTTAATAAAAACCATTCATCATTATCTTCTTGTTTATTCATATTAATTTTTGATGCTTTCATTTCTCTTGCATATACATAATAATGACCACCATGAAGTGTATAACCAGTATGAACAATAATAAGTACAAGACAATATTTTGTTAAAATCGAATTATTTCTTGATGGATAAACATGAACATTAAGAATTTTTGGATAAGTTATTTTAGTAAAAACTTTACGAAATATATTTGTTTGTTTATCATATTCAAAACGATTTAAAGATAATATTAAATATTCAGGTGCTGTTTGAAGAATTGTATATCGTTCAGCATTTTGTAATGATCTGATTGAATACAATAGGAATTTTGGAAATTTATTTTAATAGAAAATAAAATGAAAAAAAAACGTACTGACAATGCTCACATCGATATTGATTATCATCTTTTAATTCTTCTTTTTGAAAATAACAATCAAATACAAATTGAAGATTTAATGTTGTATTAGAAGATGATGAAGGCAATTGAATAGATGTATTTGATATAGAATTTCTATTTGATGCTGGATAAAATTTTAAACCATTTTTCATTACAGATATAGGTATAGCTGATTGGTTAGAATTTAAATTGTCATGTTGATTATCTGTTGTTGGAATTGGTAGAAATAAATAATTACTTGATTCTTCTTGATAAGAATCTATCGAACAACGTTGACATCGATTGATTTGACAAGTACGAATTGTAAAAAGACGTTGAATTTCATTTGATGATACATTCTTATCTTTTTTTTCTTCATCTTTGATTGTATCAAGTAAATAACCTATTTAACAAACAAGTGTACTATATTCATTGACAAGAGTCTTACAAACCGATCGGGTAAACTAGTGAAACTACGAACATTTTAATTCATTCCTATTATTAGTATGGAAAAAGGGAGTCGAAATAAACCTGATAATGATTACGGGATTCATTATCCATAGCAGTATTTCATAAAGAAGAGAATTTAGTTTCTTTATGTTACAGAAAAAAAATTTTTTATTGATTTTTTATGGGGGAACAAAAACTTATCTATTTTTCTACAATTATCACGTTAAGCATTACCACTTCTCTCAATTCCAGCATCAGCAATCACAAGCGAACATGTCTTAAGTGGAACTCGCCGTGTTCCAGGAGCATAACGACAACAACTAAGTCTTCATTTACTTGTTTTTTACGTAGTTTTAGAGAATTTATTCTTTTCGCTGTTGTTTGTAAATAAAGGTTTAGAAATTTGATCATATTTTCAGAAGTATCTAGCTGAGACCGGTCCGAGTGAAAAGAGTGGTACCCGAGCAGGACTCTAGTGCATTGAGACACTCATATTATTATAGAATTAATTTTAAACAAAAGATCTAAGTGTCAATCGTATCCTCTCTCTAATAAAAACTATCTTTTGCTATCAAGATATGAATCTAGTAGCGTAACCAGAAAATCGCGAGTGACCGAGCTACGCCACTTTATGAATCTAATCTAATCAACAGAAGTATTTTTCTTCATTGTACATCTGATAATACAAACATGCCAACGATCAAAAAGCGGAACAAACCGAGAAATTCTGCACAATCTTGTTGTTCATTCATTGTAAACCAAGCTGGTCGAGCAATTTTAACCTATAATATTCATATAACTATAATTTAAAAAACAATTCAAAATTTACAAAATTAATTGCATTAATATACGGTCGTCTTGATAAATTAAGTTGAGCAAAAATAATTTGTAATTCTCTTAATAAAATTTGTTCATTAAAATATTGTTCAAATATATATTTTCGAAATAAATCACATTGATATAAAGCTTGTAATATTGAATTAACATAACATGTATTACCTAAATTAATAATTCCTACACGATTTTTTATTTTATTATTATTAGTATTATTTTCTAAATTAATTGAATGTAATTTTGCATGAATATTTTTATGATTTAATAAAATATTTAAATCTGGTTGTGGAAAATTATGAATAATTTGTTTTAATATAATTTCATTTGATAGATTATATTCAGGATGAATAGCAATACCCATATGACATAATTCAATAATTTTTGTTTTTAAATCTTCATTATTTAGTATTTTTAATTGTTCAAATAGATTAGGTAAACGATCAAGTAGTAATCGAAATGTTTGTATACGTTTATCATATTGAATAAACCAAAAAAGAATTTGAAATGCATTATCAAATGTTTGAATATTAAATAAATGATCAATAAGAAATAATGTTGTTTCATCAAGAATTTTGATAAGATATTCATGATGATTAAAACTTACGAGTGTCATACAAAGGCCAATAATCCATGTTTCATATGATATATATTGAATAAATTGTATAGGTGCATCGATTAATTCAATTAAACATTTAATCATAATTGAAAGACGTTCACCATTAAGGCGACCATCAGAAAACATATCTTTTAAAATCATATCAACAGCATCAAGTTGAATTCGAGGAAAAAGAGAAAATATTGCAAAACTAAACGTTGGCGTTTTGGAATTAATTACATGTGTTGTTAAATGTGTACGAGAAGGTTTAGTATTCGACATTACATTGAATAGATATTCAAGTGATTGAATTTGAACAGGTGTTATTCCATTTGGACTAAAATATTACAATAATAGTATAAAACGGGTAGATGTTGGCGTGGGTATGCGTGTGGCTGTGTCTGTCAGTTTGGGTGGGTGTGGCTGTGGGTTTGAGTGGGTGTAGGTGCTGGCGTGAGCGTGGCTGTGGGTTTGGGTGGGTGTGGGTACTGGCGTGCGTGTGGCTGTGACTGTGGGTGGGTGTGGGTATGGTGTGACTGACGGATAGTGGAAAGGCATCCACACCCACCCTCAAGATCAACTTGTTCTGTGTTTTTTAGATACATATCCTGATTGTTAATCACTTCTGAGACGTAATATCAGACTTTAACAATCGATACTAATAAATATACTTGTAATAGAAAGTTCTTATTGAAATCTTTTCGATAATTATATATACATGTCGATTTCCTAAGGATCATTCATGTGATAATAGGAGAATATTGTTTTATATATGATTGAAAAGAAACAAACTATGATTACATTTCTTTTGTAGTAGAATTTTCTGATGATGGATTTTGTTCCCAAACAGCAGTAATGGCTTTTATAATTGTATTTATTAATTTAACATCATAAATAAAATCTTTTAGAATTTTTATTTTTAAATGGTGATGAAGAAGTGTATCAATAACATAGATTGAATAATCAATAGAATCTTTTTGATTTTGAAAAATATATTCAGTTGATAAAAGATATTTTGTTGTATTTTCATAAAATTGATAAATTAAAGTAGAAAATACTGCAAGCCAATCAATATCACGTGTTGTTTGACATAAATATTTAAGAAAATGAGTATCAACAACAAAACGATAGAAATCAAGACCAATAGTAGAAATCAAATTCGAAGGACAATAATAATACAAAAGTTCGATATAACTGAAAAAAAATATTTTTTTATATAAACGTAAAACGAACGAAACTAACCGCATTAAATAGATCGGTTTTCGAATAGATAAATTAAACAATTGTTTAAATCGTTTATGATCAATTAGAAGTAGATGATAAAAATTTTCATTTTTACTTAATAGATTTATAATTAAAATAAAAAAATTATCATTCATAGTATTATCTAATATTAACTGTTCAAGATATTCAATTATTTGATAACCTTCTTTATTTCGTGTAGTTAAATTCGATCCAAATTTTGGTTTCATCCATATTTGATAAAGTTGATCACTTAATATTTGAAGTTTTTCAGTTGAATAATCATACTTATCATATTCAGTATGAATACGTTTGATTGTATTTAAAAATGATGATGATTCAATTTCTACTGATGTTAATAATCGAGAAGACATTGAGAGATTTTTTTTAAATTATTAAAATTAATATTCATTATTAAAATTGACGCATATACTACATCAAGAACAAAAATTGAGCAAATTTAAGTTAACATTTGATTAGGAGAGATTTAGATTTTAGATAGAATTTGTTATGTTTAAAGCGCCAAGAAATAATTTTGTTATTATTTTTGCATATTATAGAGCATGCGACTATTCTATGAAGTGCGGATAGAATCTACAATCGAGAATTTGAATTTCGAGATTTAAAAATTATAATAGTTTAAGATTGCTATGAATGAATGAACTCTACTTCAATGAGGCTAAGAGTATATATAAACACTATGAGTGTTTCATTGAGAGCTGTTTATAATTAAAAGCATAATGACAGTTACATGATTTGCCTTGGCAATCTATTTGTCTAAATAGCAAAATATGATATTATCTGTGTGCTTTTTTTTATTCAAGAATTATTTTTTAAGGTGTAAAAAAAGTAGATAAATCATGTATTAGTTGTTTCAAAAGTGTTTGTTTTGGTTTAGGCCATAGAGCAAGTAAGAATCGATAGATAACAAAAACTAATATTAATAGAATGAGTATATACATAATTATTCGCCATTGATATGCATTTCTTTCATTCAATGCTATTTCAAGATCGTCTTGTTCAATTAATCGATGATATTTTCGATTTAATGCTGCTGCTGTTGTTGTTTTACTTCTATTTCTTTGTTGTTTTGAATTTGTATGATAATGATCACCCATACCTTGTTGTTGAAGATGATTAGCAGAATTATTAATTGATGTTGATAATCGATGTATATATTCATTTGATTCTTTATTTCTTTTCATATTAGTACAAATAGCAGTAGATTCTTCATCAGCATCTTGTCCAATATAATCACCTATTCTTTGTCTTATTCGTTGTTTTTGATGAATACAAGAAGATAGTTTTGTATGTTCATTATTCAATGGAGTTGTATAAATTTCTTCACTTCCACTTTCAGGTTTTGATGGTGATATATTTGTATTTTCACATTTATCTTTTTGTTTTACTGATCTTGTTATATGATGAATTCTTGATTGTTGTAAAACTGTATCAGTTACAGCAGCAGCAGCAGTATTATTATTATAATTATCTAATAATGGATCAATATTATTTATCATTGTTCGTTTATATGAATGATTTCGTTGTTGAACATCTCGATGTTGACTATTAGGATTCACTTTAGATGTTGACATTTAAAATAATTCGGTTAGATTATTTTTAATAAAAGCGCGGAAGTTTTTTTTCATATTTGTCAAGCGGGAAAATATACAGATGTGTTCAAATAAAATCAGCCATTAGTAGACAAAACATGCCGTGCTGTTTTTTGCCTTTATCTGGTTCTACTGTGAAACGTCGAAAATTAAAAATGGCGCTACCTACAGTGATTTATCCAGTGGGGGGGGGGCACGGCGCTTTTTGCCCTCTTGAGGGTGCCCTTGTCCCCCCCCCCCCCAAAAGAGAGATTTTTGCCCTCCCGGCAGTTAATTTCGCACCCTCGGACGAAAAAAGCTAGATAAAATACTAGCTACCTATCACGTCTTTTTTTCGACGTTTTACAGTAGAACCTACTTCGAGTACGAGTACTTTGCCCCGCTCTGGAACAAAGAGTTAATATTGAATTTTGTTCAAACTTCTCTTACATTATGAAAGTCAAAAGGAAAAAAAATCTAATTTTAATTCACAGATACAAAACAAGTAACACTCGTTTGAGGACTAGCCTAGCTCTTTCTCGTAGAAATGGTGTTCTACAATGCTACGGGACCTTCTGCTTACATAACTTGCAAACACCAACATCAAATTCGTGTTCCACGGCCTCAAAAACCATTTCGTCAAATTTTATATTAAAAAAACTTTTTTTCGTAAAAAACTGGTCCTTTGTCTAAAGAAATTTTTTTCTTAAAGAGTTTTAAAAAACTAAGACCAGATTAGAACTCCCTGCATCGAAATACCTCTAGAAATATCTTTTTCAGAAAATGGGTTTTCGACGTTTTTTTGACCCTGCGAACATACAAGCAAGTAATCAGATAATTTATGTTTACTGGACTCTTCTCTATGAGAAAGAGAACATTCAGTATCAATGAAAAGTAATTAAATTATTATTATTTATTTGTAGTTATCAAAAAAAAAGGAAACAAATAAACTTGCCAATTAATCTACAATCAATATAAATAGGTTCTTTTCCTAAGCCCAATTCAATATATATTAAAAAACAAGAAAGCAAATAACTATTTTTAAATATTATTAATAAAGTTATTTTAATTAAATAAAAAGGAAGAATGACGCATTGTTGATTGTATACTAATAAATGTAATGAATAAGTATCACTTATGAATAAGTATAATAAGTATTGAAAAACATAGACATGCAAGAATACATATATATTTGAACGTAATTAATTTTGAATCACGTAAACATTCAATTAATTTCAGAAATAAATCACTATTAGAATTTGTTGGTGGAATTGTTGTTGATAAAGATTTTTCAATTGACATTATGGATTTTTTCTTTTTTGGTTTACGAGAACGTAATGCATTTTGACATTCACTATAAAATAAAAAAATTTGTTATATAAAAAAAAGAACATCTATGATATTCACTCATTAATAGAAGAGAAGATTTCGGATAAATTTTGGGTACATAATTGTTGTTCTTGAATAATATTTGTTATATCAATAGGAGATAATATGGATTGTATATTAATAATAGGTTCTTCAAAATTTTTTGATCGAAATATAATTTGATCAGATTTTTCTGTTGATATTGGATCGATTTCTTTTTTAAAAATTTCATCATTACATAAATCATCCGTTAAACTAAAATAAAATTAAATAGTATTATTCTTCAATACATCCAATTCTTGTAATTTATTGATTAACAAATTATAAGAATGATCAAGGTTTCTATAACCTTTGACTTAACCAATAGGAATAAAACATAAGATATTAATTGATAGACATTTTGATACACCATAGGACATAGAAACTGTCCAGGGGTCCAGACAACTATAAGAGCTCTTATGATACATTATTATTGTCAGACTTCCTTATGAATTTCATTATATATTTTATAACAGCTATGTCGAAGGGCAAGCATCCAGCTGAAAGTAACGACTGTTTCTTTGTAAATATAGATCTTATTTCATACCAATTAAAATATTTATACACTATTTATAGAACCTATGCTTATTATTCGACATAGTATATAATGAATTCTTTTGAAGTTTAAATCATATTCTTTTTGTATAATAGAAAATTATAAAAAAAATTAGTCTTACATTTTGTTCTCTTTTATATAAAAATTTTGTCATTATTAAGTATAAATGTGATTTTACCTTTGTAAATTCTCTTTATCATTCCATTGATATTGTTTATCTTGAATACAAATTAAATAATCTTCATCTTCATTTATCATCTGTGAATGCTCTATAAACAATATATTAATTGAGAAAATAAAGTAATTTATGTTTATATCAATCAAACCTGATAATGTTGTTTCTAAAACAGTATCGAGTAATTGTTTTGTATATAAATTTGTTTTACTTAATTTTCCAATATGATTCGATTTAAGAATAAATAAAATATTTGCATGTAATTCTGAAAAAAATCGAAATAAACTTTTTTCTGTACGATCTGTATAATCAATTGTTGATATTGTATTAAAACAATAATTTGATAAATTTAAATATAAATCAAAACGTTCTTGTTGTTGATCAATATAATTAAATTCATTAATTTGTTTTAAATAATCAAAATATTCTAATGTATCATATTTTAAACTAAATGGACATAAATATTTTATAATTATTGATAAATATGAACAATCAATCCATGTTTGTAAATAAAAATCTTTTATATAAATAATATTTGTATTCAAAATTTTATTTAATAAATTATTTATCCATTTAATTAATATACTACGATCTTGTCCAAATGAAAAAAGTGTATTCTCTTGAAATAAATGTTTATTTGTTGTTAAACGAAATGATGGAAAATCAAATATTTTCATAATTATCCAAAGTAATGCTAAAATTTGTTTACGATTACCTGAAACAATATCATGTGGTGAGATATTTATATGTTGCATATGTAATTTTAAATAATCTAATACATATTGAACATTTGTTAATGAATGAAAACGTGTACGACCATATTCACGCTTTAATTTTTTAGATGAAAATATTTCAATTAAATCAATTAATATATGTCCATTAGATAAATCTTGTGATAAATCTTGAACAAATTTTTGTTCGGTGCGAAATGATAAATGATAATTAATAAATTTTAAAAAACTCGAAATTTGAATATCATCCATACGGTCATGTAATTGTTCAATACGTTTTTTTGTATAATAATCATGCGAATGATCTAATGAAGAAAATGATAACACATGTGTTGCCTTGTCTTCTTCCTTTGAATAGAATGCTGATGATGAGATGGTGTCAGTACTGATAGCAAGACTATGATTGTTAGTGTTAGAAATCAATAATGTTGAAGTAAGAGATGATGATAGAAGAGGACAAGGTTGGCTCGATTCATCAACATCTGATGAATATAACGTATCGGAAAATGAGGATATACTCCATTCATGTCGATCACTATATGCCATGATTAATAATTGTTCGGTATTGTTTTATGTATTGGAATCAATTATGTCATTACTGATTAGATTCGATAATAACAATTTGATTTCACATACTAAATATAAAAAATATAAGTTGTTTAATGAATCTGATATACGTAGTATACTGTCCAAAAAATTCGTTTTCTTTTTTATCAAAAGTAAACATTTACTTGATTATTCTTTTACTCAAATTCAATTCATTTCAAATCAAACCATTGAAGTTATCAAGTGTCTATTACATCTATATATATATATA